CAGCAGCAGCAGCAGCAGCAGCTTGTGTTCAAACAGGGTAATAATTAGTTCCAAAACTGTCTCTAGGCTTTACAGAAGCCACAGAATCATTCTTAGAAAATAACCCGGTGAGCGGCTAAAATCCAGAAAAAAACACAGAAGTGGTAGAGAGCATCCTGAGAGGCAAAAGGGATGGTAGGGAACAATCTCATTGATTTACCTTCTGGTAAATTGAATATTTTATTATTAACTGTATCAGCAGATATGAGAGGTGAGAGTGACCATATCACAGACAAAATTTGACTTGTCCATTGGTGCTCTAAGTCTTACTGATTCTGTGCATTGCATTCAACTATAGCTAAAGCGGTCTATATAATGATGGCTGCGTGCATTTGTAATGTCAAGCAACATTCTGGCCAAGGACTAGAAATATAGAAGATGCTGCAGATCTCCTTTTCATTTTGAACTTTGCCCACTAATGTGTACTGCTTTCAAAGTCTATTCTTAATATATGAAAATAACAGCTATATCATCCATGATCTGAGTTGACTGATTTGCGCATTCATCTGCTTGTGTAATCATTATGTTATTAGCAAGAAAACAAAAACAGCTTCTATGAATAAGTACATTTTCAATGCACTCAGAATATAAGTGACTAGTGTTCTCTGATAACCTGAAAATATATGATCATAACAGACTTGTTGCATCAGAACTACATTTGGTCTTATCCATTCTGTCTCCAGTTAGAACATCCAGGATGCTCTCAGGGACAGATAGAAATGGTTACATCATAGTTAGCTTCTATTTAAACAACATGGCTGATTGACACTGGAGGACCTAGCTTCCTTTGTTAGTCTCTGTTTTGTCACTCAGGCTACTAGCCATCACTGTATCTTGCAGCAGTTCATTGTCTGTATATCTACCTCCACAAGTAGACTATTCATATTAGCAGGCAAAGATGGATATCAGTATATCAGGTGTAAATTGGATGATCTATTATTTATGAGAATAGTACAATTTATGAGAAACCTTCAGATGGCCCAGTGATGTGTGTAATAAACCACTACCATGATTTATACAAACATCCTATGCATTATGAAAAGCAACATTGTATTAATGCACTGGAAGTCATCAAGAATAGCAGGAGGAGGAATTGGGGTCAGTTAGAGGTAGTGGGCATTATCAGTATATGCCAGGTCTATGGCCTATAGGGATTGCATAGAACTATATAAGGTTGGAATTCTAAGAAATAATTGTTAACAAAAGGGAATCTGATCTTTGAGGGATGGAAGGAAACACTATCCTCACTATATCATTACCTCTGTGTGTGATGGTTTATGTTTTCCCAAACCATGAATGAATGACAACTCTTAAGTTATAGGGAAGGAGATAAAAATGTCCAGCCATGTTGAATCAGGACTGATACTACTTATACTGACCTCATCTGTATTCAGTTCCTTTGTAACATTGGGCTGTGATTCTTAGAATGCAGTATGATGGGAAATTGATGCATCCAGCACTGACCACTGAATGTTGTTCCAGGCAATGATTGTCAAAGGCATAGGACAAAGCTCAATTCTTTGATAAAAATGAATTTCTTGTAAAAGTATCTCTTTCTGAATCACAAGTATTTCTTTTCATGATAATAAAAAAAGGCTAATTTAATACCTCATATAAAACATTTATTGCCCAAATAGAAAATACCATGAATCATGAAAACACATTTATGGTGATGATCATACAAGAAACATCCCACACCAGTAGATAATAAATCTGGCTGGGAAATGTGCTCCTCCCTTAATCAGCTATAGACTACAGCCACAGTTGTGGACCTGTGTTTTGTTTTTCTTTTTTACTGATACAGGGTTAAATGAGGATGTCAAAAGCTATTGATAAAGACAAATACATCTTATTCCTTTTCAGCATAAAATATTTATTTGTAGTTCCATGATGCCTTCCTTCTATCCCGTTTTTTTTCACTGCTGAATATAGTGTCAGATTAATTAGAGGACTGGGAAAAAGACTTATAGTTCCAGTCCAAACTGTTTTTCCTCCTGAACTCTTAAAAATGCAGATACTTTACTCTTATACATTGGACGATGTGCAGGGGAGAGGAGGAGAGGACAGGGGCATCTGCAGTAAGCTGAGATTTCATCAAAATGACAAAATATGTATCATGAAGTAACAACGTAAATAAAAAAAGGTTTGGCCTTTGTACTAGGTCATTGTGATGCATGTTTCATTATTTACTTTCCACTCTGGTCCACTCTCCATTATTTACTTCCACTCCGGTCCACTCTTCCAAGGTCCACTCTGTGGATGCCTTTAGGTGAGAATATTGTACAGTTAGACATATTTATGGATATTGGCCCTTTTCATAGTTAAAGGAAATCTCATGACTGAAGGACAGGACCATTGCTTCTGCTATTCCAAAATGAGTATCAGTGCCTACATAGAAAAAGCAGCTGTATCCACACTAAACAGGGATATCAGCAGATTTTGGGGGACTCCGCAATCTTACATGAATATAAAATCAGAAATAAATGGGAGGCATATTGATCAGAGGCCAGGAATGGGGAACAATTGGATTTGTTCACATTAACTGTTGTGTTTAATGTATTCAACAATGCTTTTTTTGGAATACAGTGGAACCTCAAGTTACGAATTTAATTCGTTCCATGACTCTGGTTGCAACTCGAATTGGTCGCAACACGAGGCAAATTTTCCCATAAG